ATGTATTTTCCCCCTGGGGCCTCCACAAGGACCAGAATCCTGCAAACACTTTGATGATAGTTTAGAGAAACCTGTGACAGACTGGTGACCCGAGGAACAGTGATGAGGAAGCACATTCTCAAGCTGCTAACTTTGTGATAATAGGTTGTGGGAGCAAGAGGTCAGTCACACAGATGCGGAGCACACAGACTCCAGCACTGTGGGGAAACCTACAATGTCTTGTGGTGTCAGCAGGAATCGCAAAAGGTCAGGGGGTGGAGCCCTCTTAAGTGAGAATGATGGAGGAGGAAACAGAAATGCATCATTTCTTTGCTGCCCCAAGGGATGAGACCAGGCCTATTTTCTCGGAGGGGATGGATACAAAAGAAAAGCATTGTAATGAGCCTTTCAATGTTGTCTTTGTTCCTTCTCTATTTTCAAGGAAATTGTTCTCCAGGGGTTGCACCTTTCACAGTCTGAAAAATTCCCTAAACACACTTATAAGGGACAAGTTGGATTTTGTGGAGCAGCGGCAATTTATGAGAACTATAATATCTTTGTATTAATATATCAGGAAACGGAGGGCCAATGAAGAAGACCACGAGTCCCTTAGCTGTGGTGGAAATAGAGCTCCCAGCACAAGGAGGTCTTTCATTTTGCAACGAGAACATTAACTCTAGACTCAGTTATTTCCAGCTGCCACTAGAGAGCGCTAGAAGCTTTGTGGAAGATGAAAGTTTGCTTGGACGAAGATCTTAGAAGAAGGCCGAAGAAGGCAGAAAATGAAAACCAGCGGTTTATATATATATATATTTTTTCTCATGTCGTTTTACTATGTACATTTTTTTCTCTCGTTTTTGTTTCTTACAAGACAACCTCAAGAACATAAAGCAGGAGAACCGGACCATGCTTGTTTTTTTTTGTTTGTTTTGTTTTTGCTTTTTGTACAGAGGATGAAAGCACAGTGAAATTGAGGGTATCATTTCTACATGGACATCTTGTCCCCAAACACCATGCAGTGCTGCAAGTAACATCTCGGTCATGCACAGACGTTAGCAATGTGGGGTTTCAGCCTCTGTAGTTGGTGAGGGGTCAAGGGAAGGGCTAAGCCGGGCGGTGCTCCGGGGAGGACTGCAGGGAGAGAACAGCCAGTAGCAGCAGGGGAGGGAGGCTCTTGGGAGCCAGGAAGGCATGTGAGGAAACTGCTTCACAGTTCACAGCACAGAGACATGGGTCACCAGCTAGGCCCGTGTCCATCGAAACCATCAGTGGGTTTCCCAGTGCACCGTGCAGGAGTCCTGAAATCCTAGTTTCTGGAAGTTTCCTTTACAATTACACAGAAGGGCGGCGGAGTGAGCATCTCACATTTCCTGGACTCAATTTCTCCTGGAGAAAAGTAGACCAAGAATTGGAAGGGATCTAATTGGAAAATCTCAGTGGAATGTGATTGTCTGTTAGGCAGGGGGTGTGGGGGGCGGCACCCTTTCCTGAGGAGACTGACTCTCAGGGAAGGTCCCTCTGTACAAACAAAGTCAACCGGACTTTCCAGGGTCACCTCTTTTCCAAGTCATAAAAGCATTGTTTTCTTTTTTTTTCTTTCAATTCAATCTTCTATCTCTATAATATTATTTGTGATGGGTTTAAAAACTACTTAAGGAAGTCGCTTGAGGAGAAATGGATAGAGGAAGGTTGGGTTCAAGCCCAACCTCTAGGACTGAACTCAATCAATTGCTAAAGACGTTTCCTGACACACTTTCAGAGGAAACAAAATCAGCTCATCCCACTTCTCTGTATCTCTTTCACCCAACACCTACAGAGCAGTGACAGGAGGAAGAAGGAAGAAGAGAGAAGGTTAAGGGCCCAGCTGGAACTCTGGCGACCTTTGGGGCCAAGGGGATAGGAAAAAAGGAGTTTTCCCACTCAACCCTGCCCCTCCCCCACCCCCAAAGCCATGGGCCCCATTCAGTACCAGGGGAACCCATGTGGGACCTGGCATCCCAGTCTGATTTCTGTTTTTACTAAGCATACACTTGCACCTTTGATTGCAAAGATCAACCCCCTACTCAGTGAGCTAAGGGCCAACACCCAGTCCAAGGCAAACTGTGGGGCGTCCCTAGCAGGGGTCCAAGCCGTGGGAGGGGCTGAGTCACAAAGAGGGACATTTACATTCAAGACCTGCTGTTCTCTGTCCTGGGGTTCCTCCCACACCCCACTTCTCAGAGCCCGTTTCCTCCTCCTCCTCCGGTGGAAAGAAGTACGGATAATCCACACTCATCCCACACAGATCACCGTGTGGGCTCCAGGGGACTCCAAAACACACCCACAGCCAGCATCAGAGTACTAGGGAAATGGAAGGCATTGGTTTCACGCTTTAAGCTGGACGCCATGCCCCATCTCTTTCTTTGGCTTTCTGGAGTCTTAGTCATTTTCTGCTTTCTAGGCTTGGATGCCCTGCTGAGAAGGGGCAGAAGGAAGCCAATGGATCACAGAGGCTCATCACAGACACTCTGTAAGTGTAGGGATTGTCAGATCTTCCCCAAGATAGGCCCAGAGGGAGGGGTGATTGCAACAAACCATTCAGGGTGTTTTATCGGGCACCAGTTTGGGTCTGAGGCTGATGACAGAGAGATGAGACCTCCCTACAACCTCAGAGCGAGATCCAGTGCAGACCCCACCTAAGCAGCTTCCACTAAATAGCGAAACCTCGAGATGCTCCAAGATTTCCCACTTCCTTCTGAAGAAGCCACTATTCTGCCAGGTCACCGTCCTCAGACTGGAGTGACGGGTTCCCCTCTTGACCCCATAAGCCAACACCAAATCTACTTCAGACATGTCCCAATGCCCGTTGGATTAAACTGGAATGAACCAGTTTTCCTAATAGCCTTTGGACCAGAAAAATGGCTGGGAGCTGTTATAAATCAGTCTTGCCCCTGCACTGAGTTTCACAGAAGCTGTCACCAAGGCTTTCTCACAACTATGACCTCTGACCCTCCTCTTCATGGCCACATAGAAGCAGCTCCCTGCTGCATAATATAGAACAGAGCAGAAACAATCACAGAGGGGGGAAATCCTGAAGGGTCCTATCTGAAAGAGCAAAACTGTGCAGTTGAGTTGGGTTTTGACTGGAGAGATTCACCCAAGTAACCACTTGAGCCAAGGACGCAAAACTACATCTGGACTTTGGGAGAGAATTTGAGTAAGCAATTTCACTGGGACTTAGAGTTGGAGGGGTTCTCAGGAGTGTGCCCTAGAAGTCAGTTAAATGAATAGTGATGCAAAGCCAGACAAACGATTCAGAAGTCCTGCCCGGAAGCTCCTGGGACACTTCAGTGTAGGGCAACCTACTTCCAAGTTCAGTGTCTGGTGTTGCAAAGCAGCGGAAATGGGTGGGAAGGAGAGTCTGTGCCATGACACCATTCTCTTCTTCCCTCAACACTGATTGCCATTGTGAAGCCTAAATAATGACCCATCTTAACCACCATTAATTAGGGAAATGATCAATTATAATTTAGCTGAGAGGTTCAAGCACTTGCTTTCTCAAACCAACAGTTTGGGGGCTCAGTTTGGGATCCTGAAAGTGACCTCTCTCAGGTGCCAAGTCTCAGGCAATCTCCTCTGTATGACTCACACCCCACTTCCGGCAGGAGCTCTGAAATGTTGCTGGTCCAACTGACCTGGACTCTTATCTTACAGATAAGTTAAGTACAGAGGATACTACATCTAGCTTCCTGTTGTTTACCTCCTCACTGCTGACGTTGTTTTTTATTTACAAAGCATTAAGACTTCTTAGCAAAGGAAATATTCAACAACTATTTCCATTCACTGTGCAGATAAAATTTAGGGGTTATTTCCATTTGAATGTCAAGCCACACACTGACTCTAGCAAACAATTATGTTGACAGTCTTCTATGCATAAGGCCCCCAAAAAATGTGGGTTTGGGGTAGGAAGTGGCTATTTTTACAGTGAGGTATGTTCATGATGATTAGTAAATGAAGACTCTCATAATGTTTCTCGAATACAATATTGAGTTCTTTTTAACAACAGATCCCAACATTTCTATTAATCTTTAGACAAAAAAAAACTATATGATTTGTGTTTCATTTGGTTTGGGGCTTGTGGGCAAATGAAATAAAGCTTAAAGTTTTGCTAGGGGGTAATCTAAAGTGAAAGTCCATTTCTGTTTCCAGAGTGAATTATAACTAATAGAGAAATCCAAGCTCTCTGGGTAGACAGAGGGAGATCAGAAAAGATGAAAGATTATTAACGCATGCCTGACATTTATCCCACAAAATTTCCTGAGCATTCCTTATACATTAGAGTGCAATATAGTAATTCCAGTGAATCAATAGTATTCCTATTTTTCTCAAGCAAAAAAAGTCATAGACTCTGAGGCTCTATACTAAGCAAAACATATGATAGTATATCATCTTTTTAAACACTGGTAATTTGATCTTCTATAAATATACTTAAATAACATATTATATATAGCTATTCTCATAAGACACAAAAGAGCACATAGACATACAAAAATAAAACAATCATAGTTTAACTCCTTTGTTGTTGTTTTTCTTTTGACTCACATTATTAACGCAATTCAAATGCCATAAACATCATGTCCATTTCCATGTTGCTCCCAGAGAAACTGGGTATAAATTCATGAAGTGTGTTTGTACCACATGAGGACAAAGAGCAAACTTTCCTTATTGGACTTATTGTTTCCTCTGGGGAGTCAAAATCTGGATGAGGTGGAGGTCTACAGGTTTAACGAAAAGCTATTTTTAGCTGCCCCATCACAAGGAAAAACTAATCAGATTCTGCATCACCACCAGGTTGAATATGAAACTATCAAGCCATCCTTTGAGTGGAATCCAAAAGACGTTCCTTATGAGCTCTCCCAAACACTACTTGCTAGAAAGTAGCTCTCAAAACATGGGAAAGGCACCAAAATTCCAGACCCTGGAGGAGGACAATTCCACAAGTCCTGCTCCAGGTGTTGGTTGAGGAAACATTTCTCCACTCAACAGAGAGCTTAGAGAATTCAACACCCCAAGCAGGCAGAATATGTGTACCTATTCTTCTTTGGGAAAATGGAATATTTCTATGAATAATCATCCCTGGGGAAGGCAGTCTTTTGTTCAGAGATCATGAGGAATTTCTTGAGAACAATGAACAGAAGAGACAGTGCTCACATCCCATGACACGAGCTCCCCGTCAGAACACAGCGTCTCTCCAAACAGCCTCCATCCCACTGGTTTCCACGAAAGCACTTCAACCTAAGCTCCACTTCTCTGGGATCACCTAAGCTGTCTCGTCAGAGCTGGACAATAATACTTGAGGAGGAACTGGGCTTCAGTCTTCCTCTACAAGAAAAAACAATGGCTTCTCTTGCAAAATCTGGAAGAGTTGCTGGGGTAAGTAATAAGGGCCCCGTTCTCAAATCGAATTTTCCACACGGGCTGAGGAGGGAGGCTCTTTGTGTTCCTCGGTGGTGCTTTCAGGTGTCGATGTGGCCTCGCGTTGTTGATAGATATCCTGGATGAGCAGAGTGTTCATCACCTTCCACTCCCTGTACTTCCTGGCGGTCAGCTTCGGATCATCCAGCAACTGGTTGATCACGGCCAAGTCATGCTCCTTGCACTACACAAAGAGAAAGAGGAAGAGAAGAGGATGAGATGGATCTTAATTTCAACAAACCATCTTCCATTCTTTTACAAATGAATGCATGTATACGTGAAGGGGGAAATCTGTGTTTTCAGACAAGACTATTCTAAAACACCTACACCACTCCTAAAAGTTCTGCTTTCACAGAAAAGCCAGAGAAAAATGTGACGTATCGTGGGGATCTCCAATAACATCATTCCCATCTATGACTTTGTGTTACATTATTAATTGATGCTAATGAAAAAACTGACCAATGTTGAAACAATGCTACTGGAGGACTTGGTTTTGTTATATGTGATCTTGCTTTAAGTGGAAGTTTCAAGCAAGAGCATTAAAGGCAACCCACCTTGGAATGAATGGAAAACTAGATTCATAGCCACAAGATATGCTGTGTGGCTCTTCTCAGATCAGTCTGGTATCTCACACCATGGTAGTATCTCCACCTCAAAGTGAATAGCTTTCTAAAATACACAACTGTATAATCATTTCACTGTCTAAACTTTATGTTAGATCAGGATATTATCCTCTAGGACACAAGATGATTGAAAATCTATCTTTGATGACTTTTAAGCAAGGGCAATGTCTTCAATAAGCCACACAAATTTATTGAATGAATATCTGCAGAATTAAATACACACTCTATTTTCATTCTAGGACAGAGCACTGACCCACCCTCAAAACAGGACGCGTTTGAATGGTGCTGAGAGAAGCAGCGTGTTATTTCTCCCTGCCTCCTCCAATGACGCACATTTCTGAAATGTCTGGCTCAGCTGAGGGTGTTTTTTCTGTAGTCAAGCAATGGAGTGGAAATAATATGTTCCAACCTCCACATTCCAAAAGGAGCAGAGTCCTGACAATTTTGTGTTGAGCCTGCCCCAGCAGTGTTTGGCCCTGAGTGCAGGGTATGCAGTGGGAGAAACCCAACCCATGGCTTGTCCTGCTCTTCCACTTGAACTTGGAGTTCCAAACCCCAACTCAAATAGTTTGGCCTCCTATCACTCTCGTGTCTTTTCTCTCTAGAGCCACATTTCACTTGGGACATAAATTCCAACAGACCACACTGTTCTTCTCCACAGACTGGATCTCCACTTCAGGTCCACACTTGGCCTATCCATGCAAGGAATCCACCTGCAAAGCCTGGTTCCATGTCAGCATCCCGTGGGCTACAACTCCATGTCTGGTCCTTCGTTTCTCCTTCCTCTCCTCTCCAAGATGCTTCTGTGAATGTTCTCCCCTGTGCAATTCTAGGTTACATCCTTTAGAGTATGTAACACTCAGAGACCCTGAGTGTGCTTCCCCTGGTGAACTCTCATGCCCAAGCTGTTTTCTCTGGAACGCTTCCGAAATTTGATATCATTTTCTTATTTTTATAAATAAGAGGAAGACTTATTTATAAAAAATAAATAAAAATTTTAAAAAAATAATTCAATGCTCAGAGGTGCCAGGGACTACTCCCAGCAATATTCAGCTAATAACAGCTCAATGCTTATATCTGATAATATGATGTTGCTTAGGTCAAGCAGTGTGCGGGGTCACCAGGGCCAGCAGTGTTCAGGGGGTTGATAAACTTTAAGGGATTGAACTCAGGGTCTTGAGCATGTAAGGCATGCACCTTAGCCCTCTGATATATCTCCCTGGCCTTCTGATATATTTTAATGAGTTTGACTTTCATTCAAATTTACATTTACCAGTCATATTGCAAAGGCAAATCATATATGTTCATCAGAATACTACGGAACCCCCAAATTGAAATCAAAATTCTTTTTTCAAAGTTCTTGTGCCTTCTAGTGTCCAGAGGCCTCTCAGAATCTGGCAAGTTGTATTTAAATTTTCTTGAAGAATCAAGAAGCCATGCCAACTAATCTAGGTGATGAGAAACACCTTTTATTCATCCCATTTTCCTACATAGGTGTTATGTTCCCTAGGTGGCAGGTGGGCAGCTAAAGATTCCAAGTTGTGCTCATGACCATAGTTTGGGTTTATGACAGTTGCCGCTAAGTGGACTTCCGCTCCCGTCCATTTTTCCTCTCTTCTCCAGGATAATGATGGTGCTGCTTATTTTTATGAGTAAATGGAAACAGTTCAAAGATTGTTTCTATGGAATGAATCCCAACACCCAACTACCTACATCAGCACATCTGCTGTCCTCATCCCCTCTGCTCACTTGTAATTGTTTGTTTCCAATGTTCATTAATTGACGTCAGCATTATACTTTCCAATAGTATTGAGATCACAATTTTATATGCTCAGTGCTGCTCTGCCAATGCCTCCTCCACTGTTCTGCTCTTCATTGGGTTAAAATATCTGGGATCTGGGCAAGGTCAGTCTCTCCAATTATATAGAATGACTCCACCCCTTCCTGTTCAGAAATTCGCTGCAGCAACTCTCTCCTCTCTTCCCTGTGACTCAACTTCACATGATCATTCTCACTGTCATGGGTATATGCTCTTATTTTCTCCCATCAAAATGTTCTCTCGACTCCCACCCATCTCCCTGTTGTAGGTAATGCACCCCATTTTCTCCCTCTCCTCAATATTCCCTTCTTGTCATGCCACACCATTCAGATTTATGACCCTCCATCCCATCATGTTAACCCCAGTGATGTCCTTCCACTTAACCACCCATTATGAATCTTCAACTTCTTTATCCACAGAGTTTCTTTCATTGTTTTGCTTCTTTGATATATTTTCTTGGATTTTCTCATTCTACAAATGATACTTTTTCCTTCTAATTTCTTCTCTGACTCAACTTACTCATGCAGGGGTACCCCAGAGCATTCACCCGTGTTCTCTTCTCTGTTCCATCCACTTTCAAGTCCTTATAAGTCCCACGAAAACTTGGAAGTCCCATGAAACCTTGGAAGTCCCATGAAGTTCCATATACTGAGGGTCTCACATTTATGTCTGATCACACCCTTGAATACCAGACTTCTTTACCTAAACTTTCTCTTCAATGACTCTGCTGGACTAATAACAGGATTCTGAAATATGTGTTCCAAATTGTTATCCTCTCCAACCCCTTCCCAATACACACTGAAACTTGTTCTTACAAAAGTCAAGCTAAACACTAGAAGCTAAATACTAGAATACTAGAATCAATCTAATTATTAGAATACTAGAATCTTTGGAAGGTTTGTCTACAAAATGTGACAAACCATGGCACAGCTCTGTTTAGAACCTTAAAAAACCCTACGGTCTCACTCAGAGCAGAAGTCAAAGTATTTGCAATGACAAAACAGGCCCTTTCAGATATTACATCCCACCGTCACTCTCTCTGTCCCTTGGAACTCCAGCCACACCAAACTCCCTTCTGTTCCTTAAATATGATAATATGCACATATATCCTACAGCATTTTCATTTTTGTCATTTGTCTGGATCATTTTACTCAGAAAACCTTATACCTTTGTCCCTTTCCTTCTTTCCTTTTGAAGATTTTTTAGAAAGTAGGATTTTTTTTGAGGGTTGGGGGGAGATGAAGAACAGGATGTGCTCAGGAATGACTCCTGGTGATGCTCAGGAGACTGTATGTGGTGCCATGGATTGAACCAGGTTCAACCATATGCAAGCAAGTCCCTATGCTCTCTGTCTTCAGGCCGTAAATTCCATCTTTCAAAGATGACTTTCCTGCTGATCCCAATTGAAAACTAATCTCTCAACATTCCTATCCCCTCTTTTCTCATCCCTCTCAAATCTATCATCTCCCCGCATACCATAAAATGCATTTTGCTCTTTATCTACTTCCTCCTCTACCTAATGTAAGCTTCATGAGAACAGGGAGTTTTTTTCATATATGCCTACTTTTATATGTATAGAATTATAACCTAGAAGAATGACTGAATCTATAAATTAATTCAATATTTGTTGAAAATGTGAATATAACTTATTTTATTTTTAATCTCTCACAGTATGGTGGACTGGAGTGATAGCACAGTGGTAGGGCGTTTGCCTTGCATGCAGCCAACATGGCCGACCCAAGTTCGATTCCTCTGCCCCTCTCGGAGAGCCCGGCAAGCTACCGAGAGTATCTTGCCTGCACGGCAGAGCCTGGCAAGCTACCCATGATGTAGTCATATGCCAAACACAGTAACAACAAAATCTCCAAGGAGACGTTACTGGGCTCGCTCAAGCAAATCAATGAACAACGGGAGGGCAGTATCATCAGTATCAGTATCACAGTACGGCAAGCTACCCATGATGTATTCAATATGCCAAACACAGTAACAACATGTCTCACAATGGAGACGTCACTGGGCCCACTGGAGCAAATCGATGAACAACAGGAGGACAGTGCTACAGTGCTCTCACAACATAAGTCCTATTTTTGAGACTGAGTAAATCTTCACCATAGATAAACAAAAATGTTACATATATATACACTTTATATGGTTATGTATTTTATATACATGTTTCATATATTGTAATATCTACATTTACATATGATTCTAGAACTGTCACCATTTGTTTTATCTATTACACCATTTGTTTTATCTATTTATTTATCATTTATTATTTATTTATCTATTTATTTATCACCATTTGTTTTATCTATTACTATTACCATTTGTTTTATCCATTATCTATTTTACTGGCCCCCTGGTGCCGTGTAATCCCATCAGCGGCCAAGACTCAGAGACTATAAAAACTGGAAGAACAGTGCAGTCTCCTGCCCCCGCGCCTGACTGTCCTCGCCGCTGGGGCCCCTTGGACCTCTTATTATGACATCTTATTATCTCATTCCTACTTTGGACAAACTGGCAGGTTACTGAATGTAGCCTACCCACACGGCAGAGTCTGGCAAACTCCCCGTGGCATACCCAATATGCCAAATACCAGTAACAATGATGGGTCTCATTCTCCTAAAGAGCCTTGAATATAATCTCAGGGCTAGGATAAAGGAGACATTACTGGGGCCTGCTCGAGGCAATCGATGATTAACAGGATGATTTGTGATTTGTGATTTGTGTTTTACCTATGCA